GGAGAAATTTTTTGCTCACCGGGGTTTTGCTCACCACGCTCCCCACTCCACTCAAATATTTACATGTGTCCTCAAAAATCAAATTTCATAACTTCCACTTTTATTGGTTCCTGATTTGTCCCTATGTAGTTAATAAAGAGATAATAAACAGTTTTGTAAAATAAGGGCAAATCAGAAACAATAAAGATAGAAGTTATGTAACTGATTTTTTTTCAAGATTTTGAGGACACGTGTAAGGATTTGAGTGGAGTGGGGAGCGTGGTGAGCAAAACCCCGGTGAGAAAAAAATTTCTCTACAAAAATATGATCCCATTAATTAGACAAAATTAATGAGGTATACAAAACTTAAACAGTAGTAATACGTATCATAGTTTGAATTACTTTAATTTAGGTAGTTTAAAATCAACAACAGAAGCAAGTCGCAACAATAAGGATTTGATTAAAAAAATATTTTGAAGATGGTAACAAACTAATAATATACCTGGACAAAACAGTCATGGAAATGGAAATGTAATCTCAATAAACCAGCTGCAATAGTAGGATCTTTGTTAAAGTGTGATTCAACAGTAGACCTAACTATGGCCTTAGCTTTCGGGCAAGTAGAAGAATAAAAACCAGTTTTCAGACCTCCTTGGCCTTCAACTGAAACACTCATCAACAAACTATAAGAGAAAGCAAAGACATAGTTGCCATTGCACGTAAAAATTAAAACTACTCTGTTTGAATCTTGCTATATTACTCAAACTGATTTACTTGGTACTTGTACTAAGAATGCAACCTCAATATTTCCATTTTCAAGAGTCTGATTTGGCCTCAATTCTCAACTCACCTCTCTTTTGTGCTACTGGAAAGCAAGTGCAGCGTGTGGACCATTATAAGTGAAGTTTTTTTTTACTTCGGGATTTTTGTACTATTGCAGAGTTCAGAGGTGGATTTCCACAGTTAGTTAATCTATACTACATTTCAGGCATGATGATATAAGGGTTTTTTCTTTTATTCCTCTACTTTATTCCTCGATGACGCGTAGAAGGTTTCTTTCTTTCTTCATTTTCTTCTTTGTTCTATCAACTGCTCACACTCTTCAAGCTAGTGACTTAGTGAGTTATATTGTGAATTACCAATATTTATATTGAAACAAGTAAACAAAACCTGTTTGAGCAAAGGCTGTCATGACTCATGATGATGAATTTTGGCCGTGTAAACCACGAAATTGGGAAGTCTCTAGCAACTGAACTTATGTCTTCTCGATAATGTTCGAATGCGTGTAAGCTTGGGAGGATAATTTTTTTAGAAGTTTCCAGCCCTGCTAGATTTTCTGAGAACAATCCACATTAGTACTGATTAAGATTCGGATCAAAATAACAGCCCATGTCTGATATGTTGCGTGATTTACTTTGTTAGAAGAGAACACGAATGAAACATCACATAGGGAATTATGATAAGGAAGAAAGTTGTGAATGAATGAGTCAATAAAGTAAGAAAAAATAACATAATATCATAAATTTGTGTGCCTAGTAGGATTTGAACCTACGACCTTCTGCTAAGTAACAAATGCTCTATCCACTGAGCTACAAGCACTTGTTCTTGACAGATATAAATAATATTTTTATTACGTAGAAAAAAAAGCACACTAAATTCAATTAAAAATAGTCACCTGAAAATTTTCCTTTTCTTTACAACTGCATTCATAAAATCTAAAATCTTTCATACCAACCACTATTTAGATAACTCTATTGACCCTTGCATGTGTTTCCTCTATGTTTCCTCAAAGCTTAATGAAGTTTGGTGTACTGAAGACTTACCGACTTACCGACTTACAATATAGTTATTGTCTGAAGAACTAAATTGAAGGTCTTATATAAAACTCTAATTTATTAAACAAAAAAGGACTAATACCCCAAAGACGTTGCATATTCCCTTCTAGTAAACCAAACTTTTTATGTTTAGACATGCATTATTGATTCATTATTAAAACCACACAAATAACTTTTCTTGTGTACTGGAAGACTGGAACTATGGAGATACCAACAACATTGCAATGAACTTACCATCCAAACGTGCGACATTGAAGGTCTTAGGGCATGAACCGGGTGTCAGCTTGTAAAAAATAATGTAACTTGTTCAGCACCACGTACAGGCTCCTTCTTCAACTTGGCATGCCATATGGCATAAGGATACATGTAAACAGTAGTAAGTGCAAACTTAATAGAAAACCACTTCATAATCACAACATGAACGCGGAAAATCCCTAACAACTAAAAAAGTGGTCAAAGCAAAATATAGTAGAATGCGATGCGAGAATCATTAATATAATCTATTAAACAGGTCAAACAAACCTAGCAAGTTACACATCTTACGATACAGAGATCCTAGCCATTGAGCTAATTGAATTTGCTATAAATTTATACAATGTGGAATAAAACAAAAGTCTACCTGTGGATCATCTTGTATTCAAGATACTGGATCATTACTGATTTCTCAATTTTATATGTCTGCGGGATGACACTGCTAACATTAACCTCATTGGTCCTTGGGATAAAACCTGCTTCTTGTGACATCATGGGTGTTTGCAATGCAACCCCACAAAATTCAAAACTGAATGATTTGATGTTTATTGCACTTTACCTAATCGCTATTGGGACAGGTGAAATTAAGCCTTTTGTCTCATTCTTTGATGTTGATCAGTTTGATGACACTGATGAAGCTCAGAAGAAAAAAGGGTTCTTATTTCCATTAATTCTACTTTTCGATAAATGTCAGTGCTCTTATTGCTTCATCAGTTTTGGTTTATATACAAAAGAATGTAGGTGGGGGATAGTTTTCAGCATTCCTGGTATTGCAATGGCAATCACAGTATTATATTACCTTTTACCCAGGTACAGTGTTGTATCGACGCCAAAAAGCAGAAAAATATGAATCACCCAGAGGAATAAAAATGTCACACTGTAGAACAAAGGCAGAAAAACACTCACGTAAATCCCCTGCGTTTAACGTAATAATGGCTTCAAGTCAGTATTTTTAGCATTGGGTTCTTGCCTGATCGCCTTACTCTTGCCTGTAGTAAAAACAAAAATATGTTAAGATTTACATGTCCTTGTTTAATAATTGCAAATAACATTGTCACTCTCATTCCCACATACATATGGTAAAAGTCATTGTTTGTTTTTTTACATTCACGTTCCAGATGATTGTCAGTGGCACTCGTATAGGTCTTTAAATTTATTGCTGTGCTTTGTGAGTTTCAATTTTCTTGAAGGAAGAGTCTCTTGAAAATCTCATCTTAAACGACACAAAATTCTTTAAAGCTGACTGACAAAGCGCTCACTAACATTATCATTCGACAATATTAAATGGTTTAATTAGCAACT